AGTGAATCTTCCAAAAATTCCCCAAATTTAAGGGAAAAATTCCAAGCTGGCAACCCTGCACAGCGCAACATAGCAGTATGTAATGAAGCGGCGAAGGCAGCGATTTCAATGGAAAAAACAGTGATTGATGGGGGGTGCCTGGTGGCTCGGTGGCCTGCCTGCGTGAGCGAAATTATGTACTAAGAAAGGGAAGTTTTTGCTAACTTGCTCCATTTTGCTCTGGGTCAGAATCAAAGGCTTAATAAACTGTTCACCTAGCAAAGAAACATTTTTGAATAATCGATGAAAATTCCAAAATTGGTCGCTGATTTTTTACGGGCGATATTCACTTTGAGCTCCAAGATCCTTTAAGCGTGACTTTTCAAAAAGATGCCGCGTTAGCATGGTTGTTTGTTCTGCTGCTCTTTTCATTTTCGGTTCCCGAGTATAGACCTGCAGATATGCGCACTCACACCTCCCTCCTCCTCCTTCAATTTCCAATAGTCTGCTTTTTTCATATATAATTTCATAGAATAAGTGATTATTTCTTATAGTACTTGCCTTAGGAAAACGAAATATACTAAGTGACATATAAATCCAAACACCCAGTTTAAATGGTTTTATTTTAATAAAATTTTGTATAAGTACTTAATGAAGCATAATAAGTAAATGATAAAAATTCCAAAATGATTGCACTGCTTTAAAGCCCTTTGACCTTTAATAATGTGTGGATGCACCCTGATGTGCTACGCATTCTCCAACGCGCCTAGGCATGCTTCTGATCAGGTGGTCAATGTCCTCCTGTGGTATCTCATTCCAGGCAACCACCAACTCCTCTCGAAGTGCTTCTAGAGTCTGAGGAGGACATTGCAAATTGAGCAATCTCCTACCCATCATATCCCACACGTGCTCAATTGGGGATAAGTCGGGAGATCTTGGTGGCTATGGTAACAATGTGACATCATTATGTTGAAAGAAGTCTATTGTGACTCTTGCAACATGTGGAAAGTTGGATCTGCCAGGGTGTCAAGATAGGGTAAAAGATGGGGTTCTAGAACTTCGTGGATATAACGCTGCGCGTTCATGTTACCTCTGATGAAGATTAATGGTGACCTGGAACCATAAGCTATAGCACCCCAAACCATAACTCCAACAGTGTGATGAACATGTCTTTCAACAAAAAACTGTGGATTCCTCCTTTCACTACGTCGCCTTCTAACCCTGGCACGACCATCGTGCATGCCTAAACAAAATCGAGACTCGTCACTAAAGACAATACTGTTCCATTCCTGATCCCAGAGTGACCGTTGTCTGCACCACTCAAGGCGATTACGTCGGTGTTCTCGTGTTAAAGGGAGGACAGAGTGTGGCCGGTATGAAAACAAGCCAAAACTTCTCATTCGTCGGTAAACACTTCGCATGCCAATAGGTCTTCCGTGTTCTGCAAACCATTCATTTGCAATGGACCTGGTAGTGAAGAAACGGTCCCTTGAGGCCAATAATCTTAGGCGGCTATCTTCACGGTCTATAGTACTACGGCGGCGTCCAGTGCCCCTTGCTCTTTGCGTACGGCCTTCTCGAAGCCATGCCTGACAACACCTAACCACAGTGTCTACACTTCTTTGCACTCTAACTGCAATTGCCCGAAAGGAAAGTCCAGCTTCCCGAAGTCCCACTATACGGCCCCTATCAAACTCACTAAGTTGACGAAATCGTACAGGTCTCCGTACTCTAGGCATCGTAACCGATCGTAAAGGATGTCAAGAACCAAAATCCGCCAACGTTGATTCTTTACTGCGGCTGAAATATTCATTTTTAGAGCGTTAGTGAATTAAAAAAAAGCAATATAAAAACCGGAATGTCCAACTGATAAGGCTGAAAATTTTTTCACTTGTTATTTACAGTAAGATAAATACATTCACCAACTTTTATTAAAATAAAACCATTTAAACTGGGTGTTTGGATTTATATGTCACTTAGTATATACTAAAAGTCCAAGATGGATATGTACGTCCAATTTAAAAAAGTATATTTTCCATTTTTAATAGGAAACTATGGGCCATGATGTGACGTCATCCAAATTGTAAACAAAGAAACGTCATCCGTATGTCATTGATGGAGTAAGGTTGTCCTCTTTAAAGAATTCTAAAGCAATTCTTAGTCAACGTTTTCTCGTTTTATTGAAAAAAAAACAGTAATGGAAGATGTATTCGTAGAAACAGAGAGCACAAATTTGAAAAAAATAACAAATCGTTGGTCGGTAGTTTTTTGTCTTCAACACAGATTTCAAGACTTCTGCGTAAGTACAGTGTATCTGATATGGTGATAGACTTAAAAAGGAAGAATAAGTAATACACTTACATAAGCTTCGAAACTAAGCTCATGCGTTATAACCTCTGAATAATTTTATCTAATATTGTATTTCTTCTCACACATCTGCAAGATAATCGTAAAATGTTAAATATGTCCCGAACATAAGGTATACAGTGATGCGTATATTCATTTCCCGGGGCATCCTAGTCTATTCTGATTTTGATTAAATTTATAAATAAGCTTAATATATTCTAATACACCGTACGCATCACGCGGTGGTATATTATCCAGGATATTTTCCAAAGTTTTCAGCTTACAAGACGTTCTCATAGTACAACCTCATATTCTAATTGATTTTCCTTGGAAAATGAGTTATGGAAATTCTGTCGAAATTAATTTACATAAAGATTGGATTAGTAAACTAAAAAATGGGAAAATGTGTTTTGCATTTCAATAGGAGCTGTGGTATTAAAATATTTTATGTAGGAGAACCAGTGAATAAATAGGTGTTTTGCATTTCTTGGTTATTCTGTTCTACAGGGAGAACCAAACTTTTCTGACGGCTTGAGCTTTGAGCTCATCACCGCCTTGTTACACCAGTTATACTAATTATACTACCTACTATTTCACTATGTCCATTTAAGTATGGATCATCCCGTATAATTGCATATATGATACTTAGACAAAGCCAAACGTGAATTAAAGCAATCCGTTGGATTGAGTGCTGCCATGAAGGATTTCCAATAGAAAAATGTACTTCAAGAAAAATTATCTCAAGTCGAACGAGCCAAAAGTAAGGTTCCTTATTGTTTAAAATTACAAAATTTATTTTGAAGACCTGACAGGTCATTATAAAGCTTAAATATCGACATACTCTTCTGAATAATCGCGAATCCAGTCGATCAACTTTTGTAGATGCTGTGGCGGTTTTTGTATGTCCATGTCATACCAGCTCACCGCCAGGTCATTAGGAAAGCATTGAACACCGATTTTCAACTGCACGTCAAACCTGAATAGCATTGACGAATGTTTTTTCAACTTAAGGAGCAGATGTCGGCAATTCCCCGCAGTGTCATTATGATGATTTGACCTGAAAGTGCTTACTATAATTGTGTGTGTTTAAAAATGCGATAACCGAAACGGTAACCATGGAGACGTGACTGTTATCTATCTATCTCTTTGTATTTTCACGTTGGATATTGTGTCTTCTTCTAATTTTTCTGGGGAAACTGAATGTCTTCACAGCAAGCTAGGCAAGTTATGTATCCTCGTCTACTTTTGAGTTAGCTTTGAGCTCATAATACCACGATTCCCTTCTTGGACATCAATTACCTCGCCTCAGAAATAACTACACTTTTAGAGTGAAGTTACTAAGAACTTTTTTTATTCACAATTATCTCAAAAACCTAAAGACAGCAACATACAACAATCACATTTGGGCCGAAAACAATTCACATACCTTAGAACATGGTTTTCAAGAATGGTCTTCTTTTAATACTTGGTTGTGTTCCACAGTACCCGTTCCTCAAGTTGAAAAAACGCAATTGGTCGGAAAGCGATTCAGTTTAGACACTGAAGTAATCGATGAGGATCTTTGCTTCCTTAAGAATCTGGCGGAAATATGGTATGACATGGATATTCAAAAGCTGCAAGATGGAACGAATGTTTAAGCTTTAATGATGTATCAATTATTGGTAGCTGAGTTTTGTAGTTTTAAAAAGACCAAAGTACGTTTGAAATCACTCTTGTAGTTCGTAATCCGCACGCTTGATGCTTACGTAGACCAAGTTGGAAGGAGGCGTGGCAGTGTCATTATGATGATTTGACTTGAAAGTGCTTACTATAATATTGTGTGTGTTTAAAAATGCGATAACCGAAACGGTAACCATTGAGACGTGACTGTTATCTATCTATCTCTTTGTATTTTCACGTTGGATATTGTGTCATCTTCTAATTTTTCTGGGGAAACTGAATGTCTTTACAGCAAGCTAGGCAGGTTATGCATCCTCGTCTACTTCTGTGTTAGCTTTGAGCTCATAATATCAAGATTCCCTTCTTGAACATCAATTACATCGCCTCAGAAGTAATTACATTTTTAGAGAGAAGTTACCAAGAACTTTTTTTATTCACAATTATCTAAAAAACTAGATACAGCAACACACAACAATCACATTTGGGCCGAAAACAATTCACACACCTTAGAACATAGTTTTCAAGAATGGTCTTCTTTTAATACTTGGTTTGGAATTGTCGGTGACTACTTCGTTGGGCCTAATTTTCTTCTATCTAGATCTGATGGAGAAGAATACCGAAGGTTTTTAGAATTTGCTTTACCTGGACTTTTAGAATAAGTTCCAGTAATGGAAAGATTATAACACTTGTATTTTGAGAACAAAGAATTTGCGGACCTTTGTTAATACGAACTTTTTGCCTTAAAATTACTCGAAGAACGGTCTGTTAAATTTATGGTAAATACTTAATTCAACCTATATAATAATAGATAAATAGTTTTTTTGGATAGTTTTTGTTTAGGAGTAACTCTCCGGTTATGACAACCAACGTTTTCCCTGTCAACGGTAAGTTATGGTTTACGAGATGTGGGGAAATAAGTCATACAAAAATATGAAAGCCACTTCCCTGAGTCAACTCTGTTCAAAATCGCATGCTAGCGGGTATCTTAGGTTGAAATGAAAATTATGTTTACTTACCGGCTGTAGAGCATATATAACCGCCTCTCTGGTCCGTATCTCCCTTTTCCTGCTTCTGATGGCCGCGGAAACTCTCCCTCCGACGCCGAAAAAACTCAGCAGCAACAGCAACTTGCAGATACTCCTTTCATCCTGAAAAAACACCAACGCGGAACGTTAAATGGAGTCGCTTTATCAGATTGCACGGATATGGAGCTTTTTCGGTCTTTCTAACGGGGATTCGTAATTTTGATGTGGGTTCGGTTGATGATGTCGTCTGGAGAGGGTTGTAAACGGAGTAATATTATGCGTAAGTGGCCTTCTTTTTGACGGCGATACGTACAGCATACGGTCATTGTTGATTACATAAATGTCCGCAAAACGAGGGTTGTTTAGGTACGCTTAGTAAAAAGTGTGTCTCGAGGGTAAAACATCTGGTGGAGTGCCCTAAATACTCCATTGCATAAGAATCTTTTATGTTTGGAGATTAAAATGTCATCAAAATACCATTACGTATTTTTTACTTATAACAGAAAGGAGGATTGTAGACCTGTAGTTGTAAGGGCCGGTCTTAGATCCTTTTTTTGGATTGGGCTGGATATGAGCAAATTTCCAGTTTTCTGGGAAAGGAAAGGATCAGGAATCAAGTCAATTGATGTCCAGCGACAAGAGCACCCGTCTTACGGACTGGATCTCTTTTCACAAATTGAAAATCCTCGATACGGAAATAGTTTTCGACTATCATTATACCAATTTTCACTGTTATACATCAAATATTTAAAAAAACTATTTTAGAAAGTAAATTTAAACACCCTGTATTTCGGAAGCCACGCATTTTTCGACCCATGTTTATATAGACTTTATGCATTAATTTTAAAAGTTCTATCGAATCTTAAAGTTATGCAACAATAAACTGAAACACCCTGTAGATACGCGATCCATAGACTGAAAATACAGGGTGACTTCGAAGTTGAGTCATTTATTTTAACAGTGAGTAGATCTGATCAAAAGAAATGTTTTTTTCCTTTACCATTTTTCTGGTAAAATTAAAGTAACAAAGTTATAGCCCTTTGGAAGTTTGAGTACCGCCCTGTCGCAATAATAATATTATGTACCTCGTGTTTGGCGACAACGGATATAATCCGCCGTATCGGTTCATCGCATCGGAAACAAAAAAGCGAAAGAATTTGGAACGATGTTTTTACAATTATTTCATTCATTTGTATACAGTCAGTGTCAGTGAATAGTGGTATCTGTTGCGTGGCTCAAACGAAATAAAAAATGGCACATGTTTATGCGGATCGGTTTCCCAATCGAGTGCAACCAACCCCTCGTGCCTTTGTTAATGTAGTACAACGGGCTCGTGAATCAGGTGACTTAAGACCTCACAGGGGACTGCATGCCGGTGCTCCAAGACCTCACGATCAAATACAGGTCCGCACTGAAATACTTGTCGGGAGGATACTTTATAAAACAAGGTAAACATTTTTTTTTAATTTTTTTTTTATTTTTACACACATATTTTGGTTTATCTTCCTTCTACAATCATTATCTGAAAATTAATGACTCAACTTCAAAGTCACCCTGTATACCTATACATATTTTCAAATGTTGGGCGTCTTCTCTTCTTTAGATGACTTCTCAGATGTTAACTTAGCTACTGTTGAATGTTTATACTCTAAATATAAATATTTTTGTCGTAAGTACCTACAGTACAAATGAGGTAAAGCGTCAAATATCTGTGGCCTATAAAAATTATACACATAATGAGATTTCAATCACTCAAGATCCTAAAAATTTGTTGAGTTTTATCCATACAAAAAACCGGACTACTAGGAATCCTAGAACAATGAAGTTGAATGAAGTGACACTGAACGATCCTTACAGTGCCGTTAATGCATGTGCAGATTTTTTTAATAATAAATAATTTTTTGTTGGTCCATCTACTCATAATGATTTTACTGAAGGCAGTAATCCTATTAGTCAAGTTAACAGTTGTTATTTTGGTATTTGGTATTGCCTGGGACTTTCATGGTCACTAGCCTGTAGTTATTGGGTTAACTGAATTTTCTATGGCCGCAAATGCAAGTCTCTTTTTTCTTGAGAACGATGTCTGGTAGACGTCTCAGGGCGCTCCACTACACTTACACGAACTCTCTCGATATTTTCCGGACTACAAACCCTTCGAACACGGCCTGACCTTGGTAAGTCTTTAGCTTCACCTGTTGGTTCAAATTTGCACACCAACTGACGAATGGTGTTGACACTGGGCACATTATTTCGGCCGAAGTCCCACATTCGAGTCTCACCGGTACAATCACTTCTATTGACAGAGATTATATCTGAAGACGATTGATCCAGTTCTATCCAATTATAACTTTCCCATTCGATACACATGCGTGCATACATCGGTAACAAGTAATAACCCCGACAGTCTAGTACGTCAAGTTCCTAGTCGACGGACTGAATGTATTCACCCGCAGCTAATGCCCGACGACGATGTTCCAAATCTACAATTTAAATTGCATTAATTCGGAAGTTACACCGTAGCTCAACTTCCACTGAAACTCCAAGTTTGCCTTGATATTGTTTCCTATTTCTTGTTTTGTGTACGTGTCTCTGTCAGCTGGAGTGATCTGATATAACGTTCGTTGAGCTAATCTGGGAATATGGGAGGTTGACAAGATGTCTACGGTATACAATCTGCAATATCGGGCATTTAAAAAAAAGTGAAGCTTTTAAATTCGTTCACATTGGGTCTATCTGTACGTACATTTAGTAAAATAGAAGACACGATTTTTTCCATCAACGTAAACAAGAAAGTTGCTACTGAAACGGACACGAGAAAACTCCGCTACATTAATCTAAAAAACTACCTGATCTCTTAAGTCGAGGATAATGTGATCTTTTTTGTTTGACAATTCTTGCTGTACAGTAGAACCTTGATTATCCGAATCGCGATTATCCAAAATCCGCTTTTTCCGAAACATATCGCATACAATAATTTCTCCGTTTTCATTAATTCGCTGGTATGCGTGCGTGTATGCTTGTTTCAGTCAGGTTCATAATCGCTAAGTAACGTCACTGATTCAGCCAATGGATCAAGGAAGAAAATTTTAAACGCAATTACAGAAGTTTGTTATTAGAGCAAATGTTAGATCAAGTTGATAATCGTTGTAACCTCAAAGATTGCTTAAAAGAGATCAATCACAAGAATGTGGCATATTTGATAGCAGAAGCATGGAACCAAGTAAAAAATTCTACTTTAAAAAATCTTGGTCGAAAATAATTAGGCAAGAAATAAAACCTTGTGTAGACTATGAGAATAACAACGAACATTTACATGAGCTCGTCGTAAAAATAGCAGTGTGTGAAAATCTTAACCAATAAGATGTTGGTGAGTGGATTAATGGTGACGAATTGGTGGAAGAATTAACTGATACAGAACTAATAAAAACTGTTTTTAACAATGGGGATGAGACAGTTTTAAATGATTCTAGTGACAATAAGACAGAATATCACATTCTGAGGGATTAGAAGCTCTACAAAAGGCGTTGACTTATGTTGAACAACAAGAAAATGCGACAGCAGCTGATGTGCTACTCATCAAACGTTAGAGATATTGTTGCCAAAAATTGGAACAATGCAAAACGTGTACAGTTAAAAATTACTTCCTTTGTTATTAAATACTCGTAAATATGTATGTTTGTATCCACATGTTTATATTTTACGTGACTTTATAAAGGTATATACTCATTTAACAAACGCATTTACTTTTTTCAATAAAACCATTATGAGTCTAAATATTTATTTCCGTTTTATCCGAATTTTCGATTATCCAAAAGAACTTGGGTCCACATTATTTCGGATGAACGGGGTTCTACTGTATTTCTAAAAATGAAGTGGTGGCGGTATTCAAAGGTTTTCGCAAATAATACCCTGCATATTCAAAATAACTAAGCCAATCTTAAAAAACTTGGACAAATATTACAAAATTTGAATAATATTTCAAATTTTGTTAGTTTCACATGTGACCGCTAGGGGGCTTTTCTCGACATTCCGATAGAAATGGTCAATTCTAATCCTTTGAATCTTTATTTTTCAAAACTAACTTTTCTGGAATCCTTTTTCATACATCAGTATATACTAAGTGACATATAATTCTGAACATCCAGTTTAAATGGTTTTATTTTAATAAAAGTTGGTGAATGTATTTATCTTACTGTAAATAACAAGTGAAAAAATGTTCAGCCTTATCAGTTGGACATTCCGGTTTTTATACTGCTTTTTTTTAATTCACTAACGCTCTAAAAATGAATATTTCAGCCGCAGTAAAGAATCAACGTTGGCGGATTTTGGTTCTTGACATCCTTCACGATCGGTTACGATGCCTAGAGTACGGAGACCTGTACGATTTCGTCAACTTAGTGAGTTTGATAGGGGCCGTATAGTGGGACTTCGGGAAGCTGGACTTTCTTTTCGGGCAATTGCAGTTAGAGTGCAAAGAAGTGTAGACACTGTGATTAGGTGTTGTCAGGCATGGCTTCGAGAAGGCCGTACGCAAAGAGCAAGGGACACTGGACGCCGCCGTAGAACAACAGACCGTGAAGATCGCCGCCTAAGATTATTGGCCTTAAGGGACCGTTTCTCCACTACCAGGTCCATTGCAAATGAATGGTTTGGAGAACACGGCAGACCTATTGGCATGCGAAGTGTTTACCGACGAATGAGAAGTTTTGGCTTGTTTTCATACCGGCCACATTGGGTCCTCCCTTTAACTCGAGAACACCGACGTAATCGCCTTGAGTGGTGCAGACAACGGTCACTCTGGGATCACGAATGGATCAGTAATGTCTTTAGTGACGAGTCTCGATTTTGTTTAGGCATGCACGATGGTCGTGCCAGGGTTAGAAGGCGACGTGGTGAAAGGAGGAATCCACAGTTTTTTGTTGAAAGACATGTTCATCACACTGTTGGAGTTATGGTTTGGGGTGCTATAGCTTATGGTTCCAGGTCACCTTTAATCTTCATCAGAGGTAACATGAACGCGCAGCGTTATATCCACGAAGTTCTAGAACCCCATCTTTTACCCTATCTTGACATCCTGGCAGATCCAACTTTCCAACAAGATAATGCCCGACCACATGTTGCAA